TGTTCCTATGAAGGTGTCATATTTCCTTGCTTTTTAATGTTTCCTCTGTCCTTACTTTGATATCTGTGTATCTGGTATAATAGTCACTTCTTCCAATTTTTTGTATTTGCTTTCATTGGGGGAGGATTTTCCCTGAAGATGTGTCTATTAATGTGGTGTTGGCTTTCATCCTGGGTACGTGCTGTAATGTAGCTTCTGTATTATTTCTTTGGCTCTAAACAACATCAGTGGTATTTGTGATTCCCTTGGTGGCTTAAGGTGTAGTTGTTAGTGGAGGCTGTGGTAAAGTTTTGCTGGGAATGAAAACACCAGTGGGCCCAGGCCAGTCCTTGGGCCCCAGTGGTGGACAGTGGCAGGCCAAATGTGCCTGTCCTTGGGCCCCAGGGTGGCATATGCTGGCACCCAGTGTTAATGGGTCCAAGTGGGCTAATTCTTGGGCCTCCAGGCAGCTTGCTCAGGTGCTGGTAGTGGCAGCAGTGGGCCAAGTGGGTGGGCAGGTTCTCAGGCCCCTGGACAGCCGGCATGGTTTGGGCAATGGCAGTACCTGTGGCAGAACAACTCTCTGGTTCCCAAGCACTTTGCACTGGTGTTGGTGGTGGCTGTAACAGGCTTAACAGGCTAGGCAGACCTGCTGGTGGTTTGTGTGGGTGGGTGCTACCAGCTGTAATTGTACTGGTAGGTTGGGTGGACCCAATCTCAGGGCCACAGGAGGAGTGCTCAGGTGCCACCATCGTTTGGCTGGGCTGGGCAATCCTCAGGCCCTGGAGTGGTTTGCCTGTGTCCTGGGGGTGGGGTGCAGAGCCTGGCCAGGCGGATCTGCCCTTAGGTTTCCTGGCTGTGTGTGGAGACACTGGTTGTGGTAGGAAGGGGCATGGTGATCCTCAGGCTCCCGGCAAAATGCCCAGGTGGGGGCTACAGTGGCTGTGTTGCGACCATGCTACTGTGGAAGGCAGGGTTGCATTTAGCAGCAGCAGCTGTAGGCAGGTAGCTGGGAGCATGCTTCAGCCAGAAGTGGTGGCTGCAGGCAGAGTAGCTTGTCTTCAGGTCCTTGTAAACGCATTGCAGCTCCACTGCAGAGAGCAGTGGGGTTGCTGCCAGTGGCTCCTGCTCTGGCTCCGATGGTGGTAGCCCACAGTGGCAACAGATGCATGTGGAGGAGTCTGTCCTTGGGGCACATGAAAACACACTCAGCTCTACTGCTGAGGGTAGTGGGGTTACTACCAACAGCTCATGCTTTAGCCCTGGCTGCAGTCACCAACCGTGGTGGTTTCTGTGGGCAGGGGCTGTCACTGGGGTTTTGGGGATGTGGACATGCAGGGGCTGTTGGACCACTGGGCTCTCAAAAGGGTGCCTCGCTGTAGCTGCTTAGGTCTTGGAGGTGTGTAGCACCCAGCATGAGCTCCCGCTTTGGAGAAGTACCATCACATGGTCTCCAGGTTGCTCCCTGTGTTAGCCTCAGGGCCCACAAGGGTCACTTCCATAGCAAGGATTGCAGGACTCTGCAGGGGGAACGTGGACCACTGGAGGTCTCTCACTTACTCTTTCCCTGAATTGGGAAGCCTCTCCAGGCTCCCAGACAATCCCGGCAGAGCAGGCTGCCTTGCTCCCTCCTCTTCCTTGCTTCAGGTAGTTCCTGTCACTTCTCTGTTGGATGCCAGTGTTCTCTCTTAGATGATCTATTCAAAGTGTGATTATCTACTCATTGTTCTGGTTCTGTTGAGGAGGTAAGTACCGGATGCCTCTAGCCAGCCATCTAAAGCCCCTCCCTCAATGTCATTGACTAGCTATTTAGAGTTCACATGCTCAGTCTATTATTCGCAGACTGGTCCTTAAGAAAGACATTTAATTTATATGGATTCAAATTCCAATAAAATTGTTAAACATGTTTATAAAGCATTTGGATAGTTTTGTGAAATTATCTTTGGTTATCTGTTTTTCTATAAGGAATTCAAAATGAAAGTAGAGATGATAGTTACACTAGTATATCACTTAGGAACTTACTTCTTTAAAGAAATAAGTCAGATATGAAAAACTCTTCTTAGTTGAATAATAATGGGCAAAGTATTACATTTTAGGATTGTCAGGTTTCGACAGTTCTGTGTGTAAAAATATAGTTCATTCAGTAAACTCTAATTTATCCAGCATGCTTTTGTTTTCTGAAAGTTACACATATCCCCCTACACGTGCAATTACAGAGCAGATTTGTCAGTTATTTTAATAGGGGAAAGAACAGGAGGATCACACATAGGAGGCTTTTATGTGCCAGGCCTAGATCTGGCCCCCATCACTCTTTTGTCCCCCAACCCCATACACATTCGTCCTGGTCTGAACTCAATCGTATGTCCATACTTCCCTTCAAAGGAGTCCTGGAAACATAGTCTGACTGTGTATTACTTACTCTTTGATGACAATGACTTTATAGTGTCATTTTCAAATTCAGAAGAATAAGCATTAAATAATGATACAGTTGTTACCAATAGGAAGATTCTTTTGTAGAGTACAATTCCACTTTAATATGTATACATTTACAAATGTAATCTGCATTCTAATTTTACTTTCATTTTTCTTTGTCTAGTTAACCATACAACAGAGGGGAAGAATTATAATTTAGTGGAGGAGAGAGTGACTTGAAAATTAGACAGCCCATGTTTGAATCCTCACGTCATCATTTTCTGGCTCTGTGACTTTTAAGTTATTTAACATTTCTGCTGGGCCTCACATTTTTCTTTTCTTTTCTTTTCTCTTTTTTTTTTGAGACTGGGTCTCACTCTGTCACAGGCTGGAGTGCAGTGACTCGACCATAGTTCACTGCAGCCCCTAACTCTGGCCTCAAGCTATCTTCCCACCCCAGCTTCCGAAAGTGCTGGGATTATAGGCATGAGCTACCGCACACAGCCACGTTTTGTCTTTTATAAAATAGAAATGAGTATGATTGTATTGTTTTGAGGATCAAATGTAAATTCGGTAGCACGATATCTGGTACATAGCATAGGGACTCAGTGGAAACTTTGGTAATATTTTCTGTATGTTTTAAGTTTATAATATATGATTTCTTTTACAGGAACACCAGATGCATTTTCCCAGTTACTCACCTGTCCATATTGTGATAGAGGCTATAAACGCTTTACCTCTCTGAAAGAACACATTAAGTATCGCCATGAAAAGAATGAAGATAACTTTAGTTGCTCCTTGTGCAGTTATACCTTTGCATACAGAACCCAACTTGAACGTCACATGACATCACATAAATCGGGAAGAGATCAAGTAAGTGAGTGACTAAGAGTTCACTAACTTTCCAAATTTTGAGGACTCAGCCCTCAGTGGAAGGCTAGGGTTTTAATTACTTAAAATTTAAAAGATAAACACCACATGTACTCACCATCAAATTGCTATTAACTGACTTAACTGACCAACATATAAGTGCACATATAGTAGTAACATTCACTGGGTGTCGGGCAGGTGCGGGGAGGAGGAGATGGGTATGTTCATGCCTAGTGGGTGCGGTGTGTGCCGTCTGGGGGATGGACACACTTGAAGCTCTGACTCAGGTGGGGCAAAGGCAATATATGTAACCTAAACATTTGTACCCCCGTAATATGCTGAAATAAATATAAATAAATAAATAAGTTAAAAGGACAGTGCCTTATCTGCAGTTTTATAAAAGTGAAAGTGATTTATTTGAATTATCTGGTTATTTCTGAATGAAAAAGCACATATGAACTTATTTTGGAGAGAACTATTTATTTTTTTCAGGTAAGAGCCTTTCCATCTTGATTTAATTATTTTTGCTTATACCAAAACAAACAATTCTCCATATTTAGAAGGTTTCAAATTGCATTTGACTAAAATGTTCAGTGTAGGAAAAATAGATATTGATTACATAAACCATATTATACTAACGAAATTGAGAATAAAATCAGCCAGTGAAGTTTGATTTTCTTTGGACCAGTGACTATTCTCAGTGAAAGCTACAGTGGTTTTTTTCCCTATAGTAAGGGGATTTGCCTCCTCTAAGAATGTAAAATTTATATTTTTTATTCTGAAGACTTAGTTTTCGTATGGTTTATTCTACTTCTATGTCACTGTGCCCCAATTTCTGAAAGTATAAACCAAGACGATTTTGTATGGTAAGTTACATTTAAACTGTTGGCTCTAAGGATTAAAGTCAAAGAAACTTTTACCAATTGTCCTTTTACAAGGTCCTGATAACTATGAACAATCAAATTAATTTTGACTTAACAATAACTTTAAAAATCAAATAAATATTCAACTGCATAGGGCATGTGAGGGCATATTTCGAGGTTGAGGTGCATGTCCAGTGTCTTACACAAAAGGATTATGAATATCCACATACCTGAATGTGTGAGAACTCCGCCCTGCGTATGTACCTGACAGAAGTCACGTATCCCATGAAGAACGAGTTAGACCGTTTGTTAAGATGATGGCTAAACCAAACAAAAACACTGTAACAGAAAAGGAATGATTGAGCACAGTCAACCTATTTTCTTGGGACTTTGGCAGTAACATTCATGAAGGAACAAGATAGTGGGGAGAGAGTGGCAGTCAGGGAAAGGAGAACCGAGATTTCACGGGGTCATGCTTCAGTCCATGAAGGAGCACTGGAAGTGGAAGAGAGCAGCATGAGCAGCACGGACTTGGCACAGAGCAGGGGCTACCCAAGACAAACGCCTTCTGCTCACCTAGGGCCCTCCTGAGGAGACTTACCTGGGACGGAACAGAAGAGAGTTTCGTCTGCCTCAGAGTCCTGACACGCAGCACAGGGAAGGCTTGGGAAGAGACTACTCACGTGACATTTAGGAAGCAGACCCATTCTGTAACCGCTGCCGCCAGATTTGGTCTATATGTTGGGCCCTTGTCAAAGGAAAAGACAGATGGAACTGGTAGTGAAAGCAGAAGATGCCATTATGTAAAAAAAAAAACAAAACTCTAATATCTTTGAGCATGAAAGCCACTTTTGTGATTTCTGTGGCGCATACTAATGTAATGGGTTTTATATACAAATGGGTCAGACTGAGGCCAGGAAGGAGCTGTGATAAATGTGGGGGCCAATAATGTGAGGAAATTTAACTGGGAGGCCTTGGAAGCAATTTAGGTTGTGAGGCAGTAAACTAAAGGATAGAATGTCTATCTTGCCGGCCTTTGAAAGTCATACTGCAACTATAAGATAAGCATTTCCATGTTTTACTTATTTATTTTATCAACAAATATTTGAGTTTCTATTATGTGTTAGGTCATATTCTAAGTGTTAAAGGCACAATAGTGAAAAAGACAAAGTCTCTGACAGTAGGAAGCGTGTGTTAGTAGGTGATATCAAACAAATAAACAGGTAGTATCAAGAAAAATCAGAAGAGGACAGAAAGTGATGAAAGCTGCTAGTTTTTCCAGGGTAGGGAGACGTTTCTGGGAATGGGACATCTGAACTGAGACCTGAATACAATGAAGGACCCAGAGATGGAATATCTGGGGAAAGGCATTCCATTCCGAGGGAACAGAGTGAAACACAAACGAGCCTTGAGGCCAAACCTTCCAGGCATGCCCTAGGAACAGCAAGGAGGCCAGTGTAAATAGAGGGGAGACAGGTGAGGCCAGAGAGGTCTTGGGGGCCACAGGAGAGAGGCCCTGACTAGGCCACGGCAAAGACTAGATTTTATCCTCAAGTGTAATGGGGAAGCCTGTGAAGGATTTTGGATTTTTAAGGGCACACTGACTATTGGGTAGAGAATAGATCAAGAGAGACAAGAATGGAAGCAGGGAGATGATTCAGAGGCTGCTGCTCTAAACCAGGCCGGAGGTTGTGTGGCAGACGTGAGGAATGCTGGAGTCAGAATGTGTCCGGACGGTTTGCTGATGGGTTCGGTGAGGGTGTAAGAGAACGAGAGGAGTCAAGGATAACTGCAAATTGCAGGCCTAAGCAGTAACCAGGTGAACGAGGATGCTATTCACAAAGACAGGCAGCACCAGAGAAGGAGCTGGTTCGCAGTCGGGAAATTAAGCGTTTGGTGTGAGTCATGCCAAGTTTCAGACGCCTACCACCCTGCAACTGGCAGTGTCAAAAAAGCTGTTGGCTATAACAGTCTGGAGTTGAGGGGAGAGGTTTAGAGATAGAAATAGGTACATAAATACCATATATTTGGTATTCTAAGCCATGGGTTTGGATGAAGTAGGGCCTGGTACTTAGTCTCTTTCCTTCCTGTGGAAAAGACAGAGGAAGGGAAGTTCCAGATGGGTGAGTATGAAGCGGGTCGTGTTGAGTTAAGCCTGTACAAAGGTTGATAGAATCTTAACAATCAGAATTAAAGGAAACATAGCCAAGGAAAAAGGAACGACGTAAAGCAAAGCAAGGAGAGAGAGAGGAGCGTGTGTGTGCAGCGCGCTGTGACGTGCCTGCTAACTGAGGCACAGACTTCTCACGGGGAACTGAGGAAGAATCATCTTGGAAACTCAAGAGCTGTAATCTTGGAATCTACAGACTCAGTCTATTCAGGGGCTAGTGGGGACCTTTCAGACATTTATGACCAGGAGCTCATACAATTCAATTCAAGCAATGTTTTTGTAAGATTAAGTGCGAAGAATACATTTGAGGTATATAAAGATGAAATTTGATAAACCAGACAGAAAGCTGTTATAATAGTCCACATTTGGCTGAAAAAAGGAAGCATTTTTTTTAAATCATCAGGTTTAAAATACATTTTGGAAATATCAAACATAAGAGACAGGATAAAGTACTGGAAAAAGCCTGCCTTTTCTTCTGTTCAGAGACCTTGTTCTTCTGTTGCATAACTGTGCTTTAGACAGAAGCAGCTTCATTAAATATTCTTGGACTCAGTTTCTTTATCTGTAAATTAGAGCACAGATAAGATACTCGCTAGCTCCTAGTAAAGTGTATATTACTCAATTTTGCTGAATACTATATTTTTTAATAAAATATTACTCTGATACTTTAAATTAGAAAGTGGATATTTTTCTCGATGTCAGAATTCTTTTTCCCAGTGTCACAATCTTTTGGGTAATAATTTCAAGATTTTTGTGACTACTACAAATTGAAGTTTTTAAGAAAAAACACAATCATCAAACTCACCTGAAACATTACTGATAGCATATTGGATGTTCTTTAGTCTAAAGTTCTTTTGCTTTGCAAATAAAATACCAATTTTTTCTTACAGAGACATGTGACGCAGTCTGGGGGCAATCGTAAATTCAAGTGCACTGAATGTGGAAAAGCTTTCAAATACAAACACCACCTAAAAGAGCACTTAAGAATTCACAGTGGTAAATATTTGTTTTCTTTCTGTACCCTGAATATCATAGCATATGTGGTAATAAATAAATCTGTCATAACATGAGATCTACATACATGGTCAGAAACTCCTTGCTTTTCTTTTAGGATAAAGACTAATGTGGAGAAATTTTCTGTTTATAAACGGTTTTTTATTGGATTCTTAACCTTTGATTAAAAGATACCAAATTAATATAATATGACATACTCCAGAGTTCCTTATCAGAAGATAACATAGCATATTTTAGCAAGTACAGCTAGAAAATACTTTAGCTTTCTGATGAATGTTGATTTTACTGCCTCCTTTGCACAATTAACAAGGGAATGAAAAAGCATGTAGAGATAAGACTTGCGCAGAGCAATAGGAGGGGAGGATATCCCTTATGTGAGAGAAGTAGAGATGGAACTCAAGGTAAGAGTGGTGCAGAGGAGGCCTGGAGGCAGCGAGCCACGGCCGCGTGAGAGGAGAGAGGACTGCAGCGCTGGTGAGAATTCCACAGGAAAATGCGCCCCATCTTCACCTTGCTGTTCCACATCATTTTCTAAATTATTACTTAACAAGACGAATATTATCATATGATGAAGTATTACACCTATTTTAGAAACTTAACAGTAAACAGAGAGCTATATTTGCATTTCTTTACAGACGCTACTTGAACAAAAGCTTATAAAGAAAACTTAGTAGCATCCCACATTGTACTATGAAATCTGTGCCTTTCCCCATTAATTTTGGTATGTTGTTATAGATTTAAATAATTTTAGTAAAAAAGAACTATTGTGAATGGGAAATTATGGGGGTTTGCACATTGCTTATTTTGTGAAAATTATTGTATTGACACTTATATTTTACAAACATCTTTCTACAAAGAAGTATAGTTGGCTTTGTGAAAGGCAGTGGGTGACCTACGTTTTATTCTGGAACTGCATTTCTAAAAGTATGATTGTATTGCTCATTGAGGTTAACACTTAAATACGCTGAAGTTACCACTTGAAAATGCTCAAACCAAGATTCTTACCAAAACATTTATTTATTTTCACACATTGATTAATGTTTCTGAAAAGTACAGGTTGTCAGCCTGCCACAGAAACCTATTTCTTGGCTCCTATATATTGAATAGTTTTTATCAATAGTATATTTTTAATAGCCTACCTTCTTACCAGAAATGATTTGAAGGTAAAAATTATAGCTAATTCAAGAGAATCTTTAAAATGTTGAAATTGGGGTAGAGGAAGGAAAATAAAATAAAGATTAGAATAATATTCATGTACAAAATTATTTTGTCATATTGCAGTCCTATAGGAGGATTTATCATATCTATAAATGATACAGAGTTGGGAAGCATAGATCATAGCACAATAGTCTAGAAACAAGAAGTTAAAATTTTATTGCGAAGTCCTGCATTGATATTTAAAAATGAGTCTCAAGTTCTAAATTTGAATGGTCCAGAGCTCAATATGAGCTGCCAGTATGCTGCTGCTTCCAAAGCTAATGCAAATTTACGCCAGATCATGGAACACAAAACTCCGCTGTACTCCGCACTGTTCATTCTTTGTGTACTATTTTTAAAATTATTTAATATGAGACTTTTATACCTTTAATAGAGCAATAATTGTAATTTAAAAATATATAAGAAAAATTAAGAAAGTAAGACTGACATGAAATAAATGGGTAAAAAAAAAAAAAAAGAAGGTTGTGAAATCCCATACACATGTTGAAAGTGGACCAAAAATTAGTCTCTAAGCCTTAGGAAGTAAAAAAAAAAAAAAAAACTGCAGTCAGTAACTAAGACCCAGGGGTGTCTATGAGTAAAAAGAATCAGTTGCTAGAAAGGGACCACTCTTCCTCTTACTGAGTCCCCAGGAAAAGTTGTTCCTTGGAGCATCATAAAGATGAAAGAGCAAAATATAATTTATATAATCCTTAGAAATATCTGAATAATAATACAGCAGAAATGTGTTAACAACTACTTGAACTTAGGAGTTGAGCTGTGATGAGAAGGCTACCGTACCTCCACTCAGATTGGACACAAAAGAGCACCTGCACGTAGGCTGTGATCCTCTCCAGAAAATCATTCTGAGTTTGTTTTATGGCCTTAGTAACTTTAGCCTGGAAAATTTTTACATCAGATACAACCAAACACCCACTTCGGCCATTTAAAAAAAAAATCTCAGTATTTTTTGTATATCTAACTTTGAGTGGTGAAACTTCCCGTTGTAACCTCTAGGATAAACCAGTTGCTGCAAACCCTAAACTTGGTAGGTAAATTAGGTGATATGCTTAAACTATAAACCCTAAGTTTAAGAAGTTAGAAACTAGGAGTTTTCTAACAAACATAGTGACTTCGGGCATTTGAATAATTGTTCTGTAGACTTTCTGGCAGTGATAAAATAGTTAAGGTAATTCCCAACAATAATAATAATGATAACTAGCATTTATTGCGCACTTAACTATGTTTAGCCACATGTTAGTTTATTTATAGGCATTAACTCATATAACCCTATAGGATAGATTCTATTATGTCCTCCTTTTTACTGATGAGAAAATTGAAGCTCAGAGAGCTTAATTAACTTGTCTGACATCACTTAGCTAGTACATAGCAAAGCTGGGGCTATGGTGTGCTCACTGTACCTACTGTCCTCTGTCTCCCTGTTTGTAAAGGTAAATGAGTCTATGTTATAGATGTTTATCTTCCTAGTGTCTTCGTCAGGAAAATAAGCATGTAGTTAATCTAAAAATGTTATCAAGTAATTAAAAATGTTAAAATAGAGATATACTAGAATATTTCCATTGTTTTACCCCCATTGGAAACTTTTGTCTGATGCATTTTGAGTATTGAATCCTATTCAGGCATTTCACTGGAAAGATAGTGATAAACTGTAGAATATCCAGAGGCAGGTTAACAAGCAGGTAAGGGTTCTGAAAAACACATCCTGTGAGGAATGCTTGAAGGACCTGGATATATTTAACCTGCATAAGGAAAGCTGAAGGGTACATAAGGCAGCTCTTTATCAATGTGAAAGTCTGGCTTGTAAAAGAAGCAGTTGTACTTGCTCCATGTGGCATCAGAAGGGCAGACTGGGATAGGGAAACAGGCAGTATAGCAAGCTTACTCTGGCTCAGTGACTCAGCCTGTCTCTCGGTAGAATTGTTTTATAAAGGAATCACTAACATTTGATGAGCATACTGAAAGTTTTGCTATATAATCTCCTGTAACTCCCCTAACAATCCAACGAGAATGTTTCTACATTTACACCCCAAAACTCTGAAGCTTGGAAAGTTTCAGAAAATAGTATGTGACAGAGCCAGGATTCGAATCCAAATCCATGGTCCTCATCAGAACCAGACACCTGTCTAGCAGGTCGTAACTCCTTTTTACTGAAGGAGTTCAGGCAGAGGCTAGCTGATGTCTAGGATGATACGAGACGAACTCTTTATTGAAAAGGAGGCTATACTAGAGGGCTTCTTAGATCCCTTCCAATTCTAATATTGATCTTCAAATAATCCTATTTCTGAGAAAACATAACTCACATTTTGTAACTTTACAGCATCGAAGCTTCATTGTTAGCAGGGCTTACATCGACTTTCTCTACTTTCATCTTAATTCATAAAAAGGAGGTGAGGAGAGCTTTATTTCAATACTGAGTAGACAAATCAGCATCATCTCACTTCATAATTCAACAACTGGCCATTCATTCATCCAAAAAAGGCTTAGTGAGCATCTTAGTGGCCTGCACTGTGATAGGCGCATGGGATAAATGACAAGCAAGACCCCGGGGTTCCCACCCTGGGACTTGGAAATGATAAGTCAATGAATTATAATGATAAATAACAAAATGAAAAATTAGGCTTGTATGAAAATATTCCATTTACCTCTGTGCTTTTCGGAATTTTCTACCCAAGTACCCTAATGGCCAAGGAGAGCTAAGTGCCTTGCACCCTGGAGCACCTGGGGGGCAGCTTGAGGGAGGCCTTCACAAGCAAGACGCGTCTTTGATGTTGTGGAGTTTTCCTAACAGTTCACACAAATGTCGCATTTTTTCCATGGTATACTGTTTTAATATAAAAGTAATGTTTTACCATATCCACTAGCACTGAGGTTGAAACTCCAAAGTGCTTTGCATACCCACCAGAACTTCTGTCTCTGGAGTAGATACATTCCAGTTTAGTAAGCCAGTGCTTATAACAATACTTCATATTTGAAGTTTTCCTCACGTTAGGAAAAATCTGTTCAAGAAAACCTTACGGATATGAAAATTTTTACCAGTCAAGGGGAGATATTCATACTTGTTAAGTCTTATGGGGGATTTTACTTACTTTTCTTTCTTCTAATACTAATTTCTTCTTACAAATGGTTGAATAGAGTAAAATACACTAAATTGTATAGGTTGTTGAAACAGGATAAGAAAAAAATTAATTGAGGGAGAAGGATATAATTCTTTTTGGTATTTGAGAATTATTTGAATTATTTGAATTAGTCGGCAGAAAAATTTTACACATACACTGAGAAGATTCCCTGATTGGTTATTAGCACATGTAGTTCAGACTAGTGTTTATAACATTTATGTAGATTTTGAACTTAAAATGATGATTCTAAATAAAATTGTATTCCAAGTATACATGGTAATCTCTTTTTTAAAATTGATAGTGCTTGTTTTAGGGAAAATGTGGATACATAAAAATTTATATTTAATAATTCAGTGAATATAATTTTTTTTGTTTAGGAGAGAAGCCATATGAATGCCCAAACTGCAAGAAACGTTTTTCCCATTCTGGTTCCTATAGCTCACACATAAGCAGTAAAAAATGTATCAGCTTGATGCCTGTGAATGGGCGACCAAGAACAGGACTCAAAACATCTCAGTGTTCCTCACCATCTCTCTCAGCATCACCAGGCAGTCCCACACGACCACAGATACGGCAAAAGATAGAGAATAAACCCCTTCAAGAACAACTTTCTATAAACCAAATTAAAACTGAACCTGTGGATTATGAATTCAAACCCATAGTGGTTGCTTCAGGAATCAACTGTTCAACCCCTTTACAAAATGGGGTGTTTAGTGGTGGTGGCCCATTGCAGGCAACCAGTTCTCCTCAGGGTGTGGTGCAAGCTGTTGTTCTGCCAACAGTTGGTTTGGTGTCTCCCATAAGTATCAATTTAAGTGATATTCAGAATGTACTTAAAGTGGCCGTAGATGGTAATGTAATAAGGCAAGTTTTGGAGAATAATCAAGCCAATCTTGCATCCAAAGAACAAGAAACAATCAATGCTTCATCCATACAACAAGGTGGCCATTCTGTTATTTCAGCCATCAGTCTTCCTTTGGTTGATCAAGATGGAACAACCAAAATTATCATCAACTACAGTCTTGAGCAGCCTAGCCAACTTCAAGTTGTTCCTCAAAATTTAAAAAAAGAAAATCCAGTCCCCACAAACAGTTGCAAAAGTGAAAAGCTACCGGAAGATCTTACTGTTAAATCTGAGAAGGACAAAAACTTTGAAGGGGGAGTGAATGATAGCACTTGCCTTCTGTGTGATGACTGTCCAGGAGACCTTAATGCACTTCCAGAACTGAAGCACTATGACCTAAAGCAGCCTGCACAGCCGCCTCCACTCCCGGCAGCGGAAGCTGAGAAGCCTGAGTCCTCTGCCTCATCAGGGACTGGAGATGGCAATTTGTCTCCCAGCCAACCACCTTTAAAGAACCTCTTGTCTCTTCTGAAAGCGTATTATGCTTTGAATGCACAACCAAGTGCAGAAGAGCTCTCAAAAATTGCTGATTCAGTAAATCTGCCACTGGATGTAGTAAAAAAGTGGTTTGAAAAGATGCAAGCTGGACAGATTTCAGTGCAGTCTTCAGAACCGTCTTCTCCTGATCCAGGCAAAGTAAATATCCCTGCAAAGAGCGATGATCAGCCTCAGTCTGCAAATGCAAGTGAACCCCAGGACAGCACAGTAAATCTGCAGAGCCCTTTGAAGATGACAGACTCTCCCATTTTACCAGTGGGATCAGCCAGCAATGGTTCTGGAAGTAGTACGCCATCCCCATCACCGCTAAACCTCTCCTCATCCAGAAATGCACAGGGTTACTTGTACACAGCAGAGGGTGCACAAGAAGAGCCACAAGTAGAACCTCTTGATCTTTCATTACCAAAGCAACAGGGAGAATTGCTGGAAAGGTCAACTATCACTAGTGTTTACCAGAACAGTGTTTATTCTGTCCAGGAAGAACCCTTGAACTTGTCTTGCGCAAAAAAGGAGCCACAAAAGGACAGTGGCGTTACAGACTCAGAACCAGTTGTAAATGTAATCCCACCAAGTGCCAACCCCATAAACATTGCTCTCCCTGCGGTCACTGCCCAGCTGCCCACAATCGTGGCCATCACTGACCAGAGCAGTGTCCCGTGCTTGCGTGCACTCGCTGCCAATAAGCAGACCATTCTGATCCCCCAGGTGGCCTACACGTACTCTGCCACAGTCAGCCCCGCAGTCCAGGAACCACCCTTGAAAGTGATCCAGCCAAATGGAAATCAGGTAAAAAAAAAAAAAATGTCCCCATTCTGAACCTGGCTAGTAAAACGCTAGTTTGACTAATTTCAATTAACTTTTTCTGATGAGAATCAGTCACTGTACAGCCAACTAAGTTGTTACAAACTGTCATTTTTAAAAGGAAATAGATCAGTGTTTGCTTTAACATTTGTGGCATGATGTCTTCAGGTGTTTGCTAATCCAAGAAATTACTTAATCCATTTAAACTTCAAAATGTTATTCTACTTTGAAAAATGATTTATAAGTCTAAGCTAAATACCTATCTGAAGTTAGAAATAAAAAAGAAAATTTGAAATACTCAATAATGGATTTCTGTTTTTATAAGTAAATTCCTAAAATTAGTAATAGTTTCTGCCTTGATTATGATCATTTACAGGTTCACACCAGGCAAACTTAGCTATCACTTTTATGTACTAACACCTCTGTTTGTAAAAGGCTTTAATTAAATAAATAAGAATTAAATATACAAAGCACTCATATAGGGAATTTACTGATCATTTTATGAGCCATGAATGAAGTATTCAGTCATAATTAATATATATGTGGAAATATGGCTGCAAACCTCTATTTGGATTTCCTCTTGAAGTATCACTAGTGTTTACCAGAACAATGTTTATTCCATCCAGGAGGAACCCTTGAACTTCTCTTACTCAGAAATCCATGATAGTTTTTATAAAGCTGTTGCATGTCTCATTGTCAAGACTTTTTCCATGGCACTAATGTTGATGTTTCCCCATTTTTTCCATCAGTTTCTGAAAGAATCAAATGAATGCGACAGATAAATTTGATCTTTTTTACAAATATTTGCCATAAGTAGGAACAGTTATAATAATTTCAGTATCCTGCTCAAATGTATATTTGCTGCTTTTGTTTTCCCTTAAATATTGCTACTGATTGGGTTTTCTGCAATTGTGATAACTCTTGAAAAAATTTTTCACATGACCATTGAATTCATCTGAATTTTTAGTGTATAGAATGCTTTGCATGCCTTTGAGTAGAAAAAGAGCCACCTTTAACATTTCACATAATCATATGCCTAGATCAAAGAACAGTGAAAGTAGAGTCAGGTTATTTCAGCACCCGTTGGCAGTTCACAGATGACCCAGACAAATGGCTGCACCTCTCCTGCCTTATAAAGCCATAAGAAATGTGGAAAAACCTTCAACTTTTAGAAAATCTGTGGGTTTAGAGGCAATAGAATGGAATACTCTAGAAAAGGCAGAAAGATCTTAGAGGACCCAATTCCACAACAGGTTCCCTGCAGGATAATTCTACCTACAAGAGAGCCTGCTACCCAAAATTATCTCTATTAGACTGCCTGAATTTTTTTTATTCTACTGGAGTTCTAAAGATTCATTTGGACTAGCACATATTCCTGGTTAAAAATACAGACCCTCCGGTACTGTTTTTCCATCTTGCTCCTTAGAAAAGTGGTAGAGCAAACCTCTCTCTTTCCAAGTAGACCATGGAGGTTAGTTCCAAGAACCCTGAAGTTCTGGAGGATACAATTTAAAGACCACTTTTAAAAAAACAGTATCTTGATTTTTGCTTAGAGAAACCCAGAATGAAAAAATGAAGGTAAATGATGCAGTTAGTAATGAGTGATTAAGTAGCAAACTCGTAAGTTAAACTTTCTGCAAATTTCTCTGAAAGATTTACATAGAACCAAGTAAATTTTGTTACTACACATTTTAGATTCTTTATTTTGGGTGTCTTTTCTTTTCAGTACCAGTTTAGTTTGCGTTTTTGCTATAGTTTTGACTATATTATCCCCAACCTCACTTTTGTCTGCGTCGGCCCCACCTGCGATCCAGCCCCAGCCTTGCAGCCCGCGTGCAGTGAGCCAGCACGCTCGCTTTGGTCAGTTCACTGACAGTGTAAATCAAAGTAATTCTTTAACCCATGCTTTTATTTTTATCTCTTATCTATCTTTTTTAATTTTAAATTAAATTTTTTATTTTACTCTTTTTTTCCTTTAGGATGAAAGGCAAGACACTAGCTCAGAAGGAGTATCAAATGTGGAGGATCAGAATGATTCTGATTCTACACCACCCAAAAAGAAAATGCGGAAGACAGAAAATGGAATGTATGCTTGTGATTTGTGTGATAAGATATTCCAGAAGAGTAGTTCATTATTGAGACATAAATATGAACACACAGGTATGTCAAACATATTATCCTTTTTAAAAGTGCCTATAATATGATATACTGAAAAATGCTAAATTAAAAACTAAAGTTCTTAGAATTTTCTTTGTTTCACTTCTCTGATCTTGCCACTTTCATCTGTCTGCCCACTTCTACCTAGTTTTTAAGATGTGTGCCTTTGTTTTTGTCCTAAGTATTCCTCTACTGACTTAATTCCTTCAAGCTGGCACAGCGTTTATTCTGTCCACATTCATGTAATGCAAGTTTGTGCCAGATTGATAAAGTTGTACCCATTAACAAGAGATATGGGACCAGTGGACTAAAGTCATAGGGAAACTAGATCTGGCTTCAAAAAAGAAAAAGCTGCTTTATAAGCATGTGGCACGCTGTCCTGGAAAGTCACAGGGTCCTTGTCACTGAAGGTTTCAGACAGATTTTTTGTGTTTAGAAAGAATGATGCTAAGATCCCTTCCAACTCTGAGATCCTGTGATTCTTCCACAAAATACACACTTCTTAGGCTAACTCAGGGACCGCAAACTATGGCTCACAGCCCAAATGTGAGCCCTTACCTGTTCTCTATGGCCTGTAAGCTAAGAATGCTTTTTTAAAGCATTTTAAATGATTGAAAAAGATGAAAAGAAGAATATTTATGACACATGAAAATTATGTGAAAGTCAGATTTCAGTTTCCCTAAATGAAGTGAATTGGAACACAGTTTACATACTGTCTGTGGCTACTTCTGTGTTCTTCTACAATGGCAGAACCGAGTAGTTGAACTACTATCTGGTCCTTTACAGAAAATATTTGCCAACTTCTGCCATATCTGAATCCTTAATTCAGTGGCATGCTAGTGACTTTTAACAACTGGCTCTCTGAAGGTGAGGAACCCTGATTGGTAGTGTTTACAGATTTTTGTGGCATAAACACTCCCGCAATGGCTGATTTCAAGCTCGGAGGTGATGTTGTCCAGCTTACAATCCCTAAAAATTTAACAGGACGCTCTCTCCAGCCAGTAAAAACTGGCTCCAGCACACCCCATGTCTCTAACATGGGTTGCTGGAGAAGGGCTGGGTTTACACGGTGGTCTCTTCCATCCCTACCCTTTCTTCCCTGCCCCCACCACCAGCCACTTTGGCTGCAGTATCCATATTTATCTTTCGTATTCTTATCAGCTATTTTAATTCATTTCCTACTCTTGTGAGGAAAGACAGAGAGACCTCCTTCAATCTGTAGATTCAAAGATACGTGCAGTGACACTTGGGCATTTCTTGGAGTTAAAAACTGGTATTACCTGAGGGAAAGTTAGTTGCACCTCTCAAAATAAGCCCCTTGTGACTCATTCCTCTGGCTGTTTCCACTGGGATCTGAGAAAAATTAGAAAATCTCCTTCCTCTTTGGGCAACAGTTAAATATTAGCAAATACCAAAATGAAAAATATATATGAAAAATACACTGTCCCTAAAAATAGAAAAAGTCATTTCTGCATTTGTTAACTGCTTGATAGCACTGAAATTGGAGCTTATCAACCCTGACCACGCTCAGGTTGTTGCCAGTTGTTCCCGCGTCCAGGCAGCGGGTCCCTCCAGCCCGAGCAGTCTCAGGAGGGCAGCGATTCTGCCCTCAAGGGGCAGAACTTGTTTCTTAGGGGCAGAAACAGTCCGAGATACGGCCATGGTTTGTGGTTTTCTAAAAGACTTCAGTATATAAAGTGCATAGATACGACTTTCATCCTATGTAAAAGGCTTATATGAAGCATTAAAATCGCATGGGGGCAGGGGTTGTGACTAGGAATAAAATGTCTAAAAAGGGCCCTTGAGTGTGCGGTGGGGGTGACGACGGAAACCCGAGTGGCGCAGCACGTCCGTCCCTGCCTGCCCTCGCTGTGCTCACTGCCGAACATCGGTGTCTGGGCGCCACTTGTTCTGCTGACCTCCTCTGCCAGGCAGAGTGTGGAACGCCCAGCTTTCTCGTATTACGTTACAGAGAGTTCTGGACCTGGAGGTTTTTCTAAATGAAACTAATAACCTTCCCCTCGCCACACCCTGAGGCGCCCAGAAGCCTCGCAAGGACCTCCTCTGCGAATCCCCTTCATTTCACGGCCACGCGCCTCTCCTTTGCAGGGAAGCGGCCCCACGAGTGCGGCATCTGCAAGAAGGCGTTCAAACACAAGCACCACCTGATCGAGCACCTGCGCCTGCACTCGGGGGAGAAGCCCTACCAGTGCGACAAGTGCGGCAAGCGCTTCTCGCACTCGGGCTCCTACTCGCAGCACATGAACCACCGCTACTCCTACTGCAAGCGTGAGGCGGAGGAGCGCGACGGCGACGGCCACGCGGGGCGGCCGCGCGCGGGGGGTGCGGGGCCGCCGGGCGCCAGGGCATCGCCCTCGCAGGGGGACTCGGACGAGAGGGAGAGTTTGCCGAGGGAAGAGGACGAGGACAGCGAAAAGGAGGAGGAGGAGGAGGAGAAAGAGATGGAAGAATTGCAGGAAGAAAAGGAATGTGAAAAACCGCAGGGGGAGGAGGAAGAGGAGGAGGAGGAGGAGGAGGAGGAGGAGGAGGGAGACGAGGCGGAGCTTGAGGGAGAAGCGGCAGAAACCGAAGGTCCGGTGATGGAGGAGGCAGCTGCGAGCCGAGCGAGCAGCTTAGAACGGAAAGGCAGCGAGGATAGCGAGCAGGGGTCGGAAGAAAAGACAAATGAAGCCTGATAGTTTTCTAGAAGGAAAGTAAGTTCTAAATTGGTAATGAAGTTTGCTCTATATTATCCATGCTTCTCATGGAAACACAGTAACCTGTATGCTGTGATTCCTGTTCACTACTGTGTAAAGTAAAAACTAAAAAAATACAAAAAAAAAAACAAACCCAAACAAAAAAAATCCGGGTGTGCCTGAACCTCAGACCTAGTAATTTTTCATGCAGTTTTCAAAGTTAGGAACAAGTTTGTAACAAGAAGCAGATTAGAAAAATGACTCAGAAAGCGAAGATTAACAGGTTAAAGGAAACTGATTATTAGATAAGCATCTGGCATGGTTTTATTTTATCAGTATTAATTATCACTCTTATGTTGGTTTATTCTTAAGCTGTACAATTGGGAGAAATTTTATAATTTTTTATTGGTAAACATATGCTAAATCCGCTTCAGTATTTTATTATGTTTTTTAAAATGTGAGAACTTCTGCACTACAAAATTCCCTTCACAGCGAAGTATAATGTAGTTCCAACCCATGCTGACTACCTTTTATAAATTCAGTCTAGAAGGTAGTAATTTCTAATATTTAGATGTCATTGTAGAGCATATTAACATTTAAAGTGTATTGTTAGCCTTAAGAAAGCAGCTGATAGAAGAACGGAAGTTTCTTACTCAAATGTGGTTTAAAATGGAGTTCAGAAGATCGTCATGAAGTTCTGACTGCAGGGACTAACAGTGTTAATACTGGTAAGGACAGCGAAGTCGTCAGAATCAGTGTTTGTGACTGTGTTGAGTGTGCGGTAACAGGTATGAAGGACATGACATGCAGCTGTGCGTCTCCTTGGCCTTAAGCAAGACCGTGTGCTGTAAGTGCCATTCCTCAGTGTTGTCAAGGCCCTCACCCGCCTTCCTCCAGCGCGTGGCCTACAATAACTAGCATTTGTTGATTTGTTTGTTGTATCAAAATTCCCAAATAAAACTTAAAACCACTGACTCTGTCAGAGAAGCTGAAACACTGGGACATTTCATCCTTTAATTCCTCAGTATTCATTTTGCGTTAATTGACTCAGAATTTCTCTGCAGAAACGAAAGGGAAATTTTCTAATCTGCTTTATCCACGTACTTGCATTTCACACGTGGACATGCCATTGTTATTTGGCTCATAACGTTTCCAAATGTTAGTTATTATGGACCCAGTTTATTAACATTAGCTGATTTTTACCTATCAGTATTATTTTATTTCTTTTAGTTTATAGATCTGTGCAACATTTTTGTACTGTATGTCTTCAAACCTGGCAGTATTAATACCCTTCTTACTGACATATGTACTTTTAGTTTTAGAAAACTTTTATATTTATGTGTCTTATTTTTATATTTCTTTATTTATTACACAGTGTAGTGTATAATACTGTAGTTTGTATTAATACAATAATATATTTTAGTATGAAAATTTGGAAAGTTGATAAGATTTAAAGTAGAGATGCAATTGGTTCTCTTGCATTGAGATTTGATTTAACAGTGTTATGTTAACATTTATACTTGCCTTGGACTGTAGAACAGAATTTAAATGAGAATGTATTAGTTTTACAACTACAATCAAGTCATTTTACCTTTACCCAGTTTTTAATATAAAACTCTTAAATTTTGAAATTCACTGTGTGACTAACAGCATGACGCTCTGCAGTTTTATTAAGAGATTAGCCTAACCATAAAACTCTCATTTCCTTAGTGAGCCAAATTAGGATTACCTTATATAAACAGTGTTGGGAACAATGTTTAACATTTTGTGCCAATTTGTTCCTGTATTCATGTATGTAAGTTACAAATCTGATTCTTCATTTTTAAGTTCCTTGTTACACCATGGTCATTTTCTAGTTTTTTACCAGACTCCCCCATCTCACAATAAAATGCATCAACAAGCCTGACTCACTGTCATTCTTTTAATCATTATCAGTATTTTCTTTGCAAAACTCTCTGTGACATGGGGAGTTACACTGTCATCCTGCACTTGATTCATCTTGACTGGGTTTGGGTAACACTAAATGTTCTAGACATTCACCACGAAAGTATGAATTTTCTTGTGGCTAAACGTTTCTGGACAGATCCGAGTTGACGAGTAAAGGCCTCCTCAGACATTGCTCCTTCTTCCTGAACCCGTTAGCATCCCAGTCCTAATCCCGTGACTCCTTGTTCCTCAGGTCACTGCGAGGAAGGCTGGGCTTAGATGCCTTTCTAACGCTCCCCCAGCCCCTGAGCCTTTCTCGTCATCGTCATAGCTCTTACGCTGTTGTGTACATTCCTTCCCACTAGGAACAGGGACCCTGTCTGTCCCAGTCACTCTCACATCCCCCCACTGCCTAGCAGAGCACCCGGCGCTAGTCGGTACAACAAATATTTGTTGAATAAAAATACAATTTGCATGTTTATGAAGCTCAGCTATGTTTTCACTACTCTTTCTGCCTCTAACCCCACAATATATATATCAAATGATTTTAACAGTTTGATGGTTTTCTTATTGGGTATTAAATTACTAGCCTGTATCACATCTCATGTCAGAATACCTTACACTGTCGACATTTAAACTCAAGTTTGGCCTTAAAGAATATGAGTAGAAAAATATAATAAGATCCATGTACCTTTCATAGCATGGTGGAAAAGAAAGGGGGACATGAGATTTTTTTACTCTGTGTGGCAACGTAAAAATAGCCTCGACAAGGGTACTATTGAAGTGTGATGATTATATTGACATGAAAAAGTAAACTTAGATTTCACCTCTTCAGATCAATGGAGAATATACTAGGACAATATATATGAACTTTGTCTATGAACAAAAAAAATTTTTTAAAAGCAGAAGCTCCTCTGCTCTAGTGAGCAAAAATATATTCTATTCAACAACAGCAGAATACACTTATTTTTCTAACAACACATGGAACATTCATGAAGAGGAACCTTGTTATGAGCCATGAAACAACTCTCAAGTCTAGAAGAACTGCAAATTATTTTCTCTGATTAGAAAAGAATCAAACTAGAAATCAGTAACAACTGTATCTGGAAAATCCCCCAAATTATTGGAAAATTGATAACATTAAGTAGCCCACGAGTGTTAAAAATTATAAAATATGAACTAAAAGAAAATGCAACATATCAAAACTTGTAGCATACAGTGAAGGCAGTACATAAGAAAATTTATATCATTAAATGTTTATATTAGAAAAGAATAAAGGACTCAATAATATAAGCTTTCACCTTAAGAAACTAGAAAACAAAATTAAACCCAAATGAAGCAGGAGGGAGGTGATAATAAAGAAATAAATGACATAGAAAACAAAATAGAGTAAATCAATTAAATCATAATTTGGTTTTTTGAAATATTAGTAAAAATAAAGGCATAAATTACCAATATCAAGAATAAGAGAGGAGACATCCTTACAGATCCTACAGAGTAAAAGAATGATAAGGAAATACTATGAACTTTATGCCAATAAATTTGACAACTTAGAGGAAAATGACACATTTCTTAAAAGATACAAACTACGAAATCTCAAAAAGAAATAGCTCAAATAGTGCAATATCAAATATATTAAATTTCTAGTTTAAAATCTTCCCATAAAGAAAATTCCCAGCTTCACCGGTGATTTCTATCAAACACTTAAGGAAGATACTGTACCGAGCCTACATAAATTCATCCAGAAAACGGAATAGGAGAAAACACTTCCCACTTCAGTCTGTAAAGCCAGCATTAACCTGGTATCAAAACCAGGCAACGAGACATTAAAAGAAACAAAAACTACACACATATCCCTCATAAACATACATGCAAAAATTCTTAACAAAATACTTGGAAATCAATTTGACCCATATATCAAGAACAAAACAGATCATGATCAAGTGGGATTTATCCCAGGATTACACGGCTTTTTGAGTATTCAAAAAAGAATTACAGATGCTCCTCAACTTAATGATGGAGTTACATACCAATAAACCATCAAAAGTTGAAAATACCGTAAGTTGAAAATGCATTTAATACACCTAACCTGCCAAACATGATAGCTCATCCTAGCCTAACTTAAATGTCCTCCGAACACTTAATGTTTGCCTGCAGTTGGGCAGAATCATCTAACACAAAGTGTTGAATACTGCACACAGGTGGGCTTTTTGTAGACATGATAGGATTCAAAATCAAAACATAATATCCGAAAGAACACTGGCAGCACAGTGCAGTGTAGAGCATCAGTCGTTTACCTTACAATCACGTGACTTGCTTCTGCTTCCTGGCATTGCGACAGAATATCAGACCGCATGTCGCTAGCCCAGGAAAAGATCTGAATTCAAAATACGGTTTCTACTACGTGCATATTGCTTTTATATCATCATAAAGTGGAAAAATTGGAAAGCCAAACCATCGTAAGTCAAGAACTGTCTGTGGGGTAATTTACTGTATTTACAGAGCAAAAAGAAAAAACATAATCATCTCAATATGCTTAGAAGAAGCATCTGACAAAATTCAACACCAAGTCATAAACATTCTCAGCAATATTGTAATAGAAGGGAATTTTCTTACCCTGATAAAGGGTACCTATAAAATTCCTATAGTTATCATCATACTCAGTGTGAAAGATTGAATGCTTGCCTCCTAAAATTAAGAACAAAGCAAGAATATCTGCTCTCACACTTTTATTAAACATTGTACTAGATGGAGGTCCTACCCAGTGTCACGTTAAAAAAAATAAAAGGCATACAGATTGGGGGGAAAAAAGTAAAACTGTCTATTTGCAGACCGTGTGGTTGGGGAGAAAATGAGGAATTTGCAAAAAAGGAACTAGGAAAGGTGAGTGTGAGATTACAGGATACAAGGTCATAATGCAAAAATCAATATTCTATATAGTGATGAAATGGAAATTTAAAAAATATGAAATATTTAGATATATGTAACAAAATGTGGGCAAAACCTGTGCACTAAAAGCTACAAAACATTCCTGAAATAAAGATGCAAAGAAAATGGAGAGAGAGTCCATGTTCATGGACCAGAAGACTCAGTATTATGAAAGCGTCAATTCTCCCCAAATTTATCTGTAGATTTAATACAATTCCAATCAAAATTTCAACCACATATTTGTAGAAACTGACATGCCAGTTCTACACTTATATGAAAATACAAAGGAATCAAGTAGGCAAAACAATTTTTAAAAAGAACAAAGTTAGAGGATTTACAATACCTGGTTTCTGGAGTTACTTTGATAAAGCTACAGTAATGAAGAAAATTGTATCAGGCATGAGAATAGACATATAGATCAAGAAAACAGAATTAGAGTCCAGAAGAGACCCACACACACATTCAATCGATGGTGCCAAGGTAACCCGATGGTGAGACGTGGATAACGACGTCCATGTGCAGGAACACGGACTTGATCCTTACCTCACACCATGTACAGAAATTGATTCAAAATTGATCATCTATCTAAATATAAGAGCTAAAATATAAAACTTCTAGAAGTAAACATAAATTCTTTGTGACCTTGGGTTAGGCAAAGATTTCCTAGATAAGACACTGAAGGCATGAATCATAGAAGAAAAGAATTGATGGAGTTCATCAAAATTTAAAACTTCTGCTCTTCAAAAGATACTATTAAGAAAATCAGAAGGGAATACACAGACTAGGAGAAAATATTTGCAAAACATATATGTATATACCCAATAGACATTAAAACGTGTGTCTACACAAAAACCTATACATGAATGTTCATGCCAGCATTATTTATAACAGCCAAAAATACGAACAGCCCAAAGGTCCATCAATTGATGAATGGTCAAAATATGGTATATCCATGCAATGGGTACTATTCAACTGTTAAAAGGAATGACATTTGATACACGCTACCGCATAGATGGACCTTGAAAATATTACTCTAAGTGAAAGGAACTAGTCACAAAACACTACATATTATTCATTTATATGAGAGTCCAAAATAGGCAAATCTATAGAGAGCAGATTCGTGGTCGCCTAGAGCTGGGCGTGGGGGGGAGGATGGAGAGTGGTGGCTGATGGGTAAGAGTTTTCTGTTTTTTTTTTTTTGGGCGGGGGGTGATGAAAGTGTTCTCAATTAGGTCGGGGTGGTATTTATACAACTCTGTGAATATACTCATTCACGGAATTATACATTTTAAGTGGGTAATAATGGTAAATGAATTACATCTCAATAAAGCTGTTAAAATATGTGTAGATACATGTTGAATATATAAAGAACTCTTACAGTTCAATAATAACATGATAACATAATTTTTTAAATTGAGCAAAATTTTAAAGAGACACTTTA